TAGAAAGTTGTGGACTATATGTCCTGAGATGAGTGTATGAAGCCAACTAAATTAAGGCTTACATATGCAGTTTTTGCAGTTACTAAAGAGGCTTTTCTTTTACATATATATTCTGAGTCAGCCTCTATAACAGTTGCATATTTTACTAGCTAGTGTAAGGTTCAAGAAAGCTGTATGTAGTATAGGTTTTGGCAAAAGGGGCAGGTGATGGCTCCAGTTCCCACCACAGGGATATAATGGTAAGCTAAATGTCCATGTTAAGATACAGACAGGGTCATGCTAGGAATAGGAAAGACGAAGCTCGAGTCTATGTGCATTACTATTTAACGTCAGTTTTGGTACATATTTAAGCTCTTCAGGCTACTGGGTACTTTTAAATACCGCTGATGTTGAGGAAATATTATGAAAATATAAATAAAAAATACTTTTTTTCCTGTAGTTACAGGAGCTCTGAATATATGACCTCTGTACTCTCTGACACCTTATCAGCTACATGAATACATACAGACATAGGGCACACTTCAATTTGAACACAAATGGACCCTTAACCCATCTGTTTTATCCGCAGTGCTCACTACTAATTTTTTTCTAAGTTTAAGTAATCGCAGTCTGGTAATCTTAATGACAGCTAAGGCAGGGAAACCTTTGCATTAACTTCTGCAGACCAAGAACTGAGCCACACATTTTGTGAGAAGAACACGATGCTCAGTTCTGTAGCAGATAATGTTATGCACATATATTGAAACAAGACGGTCTTTAATTTGACCAACTCTAAAAATAAGCCTTTAATACCTGCTAATTTAAATTCACACTTGGGAGCAAATATTACCATTCCTCTGTGGGACTACCAGGGTCAGGAAACAGAGATCCATTTTCTCTTAAAGAGCTCCTGAGCAGAATCTGACCTCTGCCGCTCTCTCTGTGAGGAGAAAGCTGTTCCATGTACAACAAAAATCCTTGCTTTTAACACACAAGCAGATTTGATGCTAGAGTTTGAGCTCCTCCCACAACAGGAGAAATTTCTGCCTTCTTCCAGACCAGCAGTTGGCCAGGGAGAAAAAGGACCATTCACTGTATGATTATTAGGCCCGTATGGATATTTACCAGCATCAGAGTGATTTCTTGGTGTTTTGAGTTTCTGTTTTTATCAGGAAATGGAATACTGACTGGGACTGAGCATAATTCTACCTAATGGGAAACATCTTAGTTTTAGCAATTTTTTCTCCATCAAGGCTCTGGCAGTTACACGAAAAATTTGTTTTTGTATATGAAAGACTGCTTTTTCTTAGATTTAGCCTTCTCTTCTACAAAAGACATTATCTTCTCCTGTAAACAAATAATGTACATTTATATCCTGGAATATTCAGGATTGAAGGAATATAATAGATCTACATACCTCTGATGGAACCCTATATAACTTTAACTAATCAGCACCTCACTCTCTAACACCCATTTATTGGTACTGTATTTAGTAAGTAAGCATTCAAAGGAGGATGAGCTCTATTTTGCTTGCCATGCCATTCTGATTATGTGTTGAAATGTCTCTTGAAAGTTTTGAACCTCAAAGTTGTTAAGAGCAATTTCCATTTATACTACTAAGTCTACTGAAAATCAAGGATCTTTTACATTTAAATGAATGCATATAATAGTTAAAGATCAAACTATGTCTGATAATTTTGATTATTTCGGGGAGAATTCTAAAATTAAAATGAAAAAAAAAGAAGAAATTGTTATGTAAATCATATGTAGAGTACCTGTTGTGGTTTAAGTCAGAAGGTGGCTGAGCACCACAGAGTTGTTCACTCACTCCCCCCTTCCCAGTGCGATGGGGGAGAGAATCGAAAAATGCCAAGGGGAACTAGTGCGTTGAGAAGAAATTATTCAGTAACACAGAGGAATGGAAAAGGATAATAATTACGACATATATATATATATATATAAATATGGGAGAAGTGGTGCAGAAGTAATTGAACAACACCCTTTGCATGATGCCTAGCTAAGCTCTGAGCAGCAGAAGAGAGCCAGATGCACTCCCACCTCTTTCAGAACTCTTTCTACTTGATGTCATATGGTACGGGATATCCCTTGACCAGTTTGAGTCGGCTGTCCTAATTCTGTTCCCTCCCTGCTGCTTGAGCCCTTTGCTAAGAATGGCCTTGGCTGTGTGCAACACTGCTTAGCAGTATCTATAAACTTCAGTGTGTTATCAGTGTTGTTTTTCTCCTTGAACTAAAACATAGCTTCATACCAGCCTCTATGAAGAAAACAATTCTATCCCCTCTGAAACTAAGTATCATAGAAAATATTATTTCTATAACAAAGTCAATTTGACAGAGAAATGAAGAATTGATATTTGATTTTTGAGAGAATCTTACTGCTGTATAGTGAGCAAAAAGCACATGCTGAGGTAATTTACACAGTTGCAGCAAGTTGTTTAGTCAGGTGCAGCAGGGACCCCTGCTAGAGCTTGTATTACAGGCATTTAACATTTTCATTAATAATCTGGAAGAGAGGGCTTACAGCATGTTAATTACATGAGTAGATAGTTCTAAATTGAGAGAAGTCACAAAACATTAACGGGGACTGAGATCTAATATAACAGGATTTAAAATGACAGAAAAATAAGAAAGAGAAAAATCAATTCTGGCTTAGTCAGAGATTCAAGTGCAATCAGAGATGTCTTAATATCTGACCCATACATTAAGAATGGAAGTGAGAAACAAAGCAGTAACACTAAAGGAGTAAAACATGAACTGAATATTGGTTAACATATGATGTAGAAGCTGCAAAGACTGTTTTGATTCTGGGCTGCCTGTGAAAAAGTGCAACTTGGAAAGCTTACAAAAACTTTAAGGAGCTCAAAGATGGAAAGATTTTTTTGTAGAAAGTCTTTAGTAAGGAAAACAACTAATATGACCTAGATATTTAAAACAACTGATCAGTCCATTGCCAGGCAGGGTAGTATAAGAAATTTCTATCAGGTACCAGGACAATGCAGTACAGCTTTTACAGCTTTTCCAACTCCTACATTCTCTATGATGTCACCTACCAGTTAAGACCATAACTTCTACTTAACATGATTTGAGATTATTCCTAAGTCTCATTAGAGTGAGTAAGATATAATGCTACAGTGAAATTTAATCTCATTTTAATATGAAATCAATGCACCATTCTGCTCAGAGTTTTTCTGCTTTGACTGAAAGACTGGAATTATACAGGTGCTTCCACAACCCACTCTAGCGTCAAGATTTGTTTTCTGTTTGTTTTTAAACCTGGAAAAAATAATTCACCTCCACATTAATCCTAGTACTTTATGGTACATTTCCTTCACTTTTTTTGGTTGTGTCAGTTCTCTGTTATACTACATTATCTCTCACTAATATCCTTACCTCTGTGTTGCAGGTACCTTAAGTGACATAAAAGCAGAACTTGGTAAAATCCTAGCTATAGAGGAGCCCAGTTTTCCCTTTTAAATGATTGAGAGGTAAATCCCAGCACCTCACTTCTGCTGTTGGCTCAGAGACAGACCCTTTGTCCTGTTTTACTCTTTATGCTCAGGGCTTTTCCCACTTTCTGTGCATAAGAAGTGGAACACTTCTGCTGATTTGGAAGATGAAAGGCTGGTAAATGTGGTCTGAGGTACAGAGTAGTCAGTTTTAGATCTAAGAAAGCAAAAATCTGGGTGCAAATTTAAGAGCGAAGCATCGTTTCTATGTGATGCAGAAAGAAGCAAATGTTAAATGCTTCTCTGAACCTTCATAAGTCAGAAGATACCATTGACTTCAGTGGAATCCTTTGGTAACTACAGATGTAGTCTAAAGGCCATATTTTCTTTGTTGAGCTTACTTCTATAAATAAGTGTAAACATTAAATCATAGATTATCAGAATGGTTGTATTTCTGATATCATCTTGGGTATCTCTGGGAACACTGCCCTTAAGTGTTGAAATTGTTCCTCAGTTGGTTCCTTGTTCTGCTAACCACTGTTCCAAGACTGAGACTAGTACAAGTCCCTTTTGAGTACTATTCATATAACCAGAAGAGATAAAAAGGAAGGTGAAGATAATGTTCCACTAATCCTCTGTACTACTACTCTGTGGGTATAGGTCTTTATTGGACAGCCTAAACCAAACGTGACCTAGAACATGCCACAGGGATACAACATGGGCACAGTGATGTGTCAGATCTCCAGGGCTAACTGTAAGTCTGACTACATGTATACCTTTAAACATCTTAGCATACATTCTCGAGGCAGTAAGGCCAGGTCAGAGATCTATGGTGTGACATTAATTCTTCTGCTATGAGTGCTCTTGAACACCTTTTCATCTTTTTTCCTTCTTACAGAAGAATCACATGTAGTCTTTCAAACTGTATTATCTAACAGAAAGGTCTCATTGCATCTTTTCAAAGAAGAAATGAAGGGACATATGCTTCTCCAAAGCATTCAAGCAGAGAAGTGGAGACAGCCTCACAACTATCTTCACCCTGACTGAATTTGTGCACCTCATGAGATTAGACAGCTTGTTCATGTACACCCACACAGCAGAAGTAGGGAAATGGTTCTTTTTGATAATAATTTAGCTGATATGGGGATTCTGAGTATTGACTAGAATATGGCTGGCTGAGGACATCATTTAAGCTTCCTAGTAATGATCTCATTTGAAGCAAGTGCCATACTACTAATTATCACTTGGTTCTGATTGATTCATCATCTACTTTGGTGCTCCCATTTCATAAATGGGAACATAAACTGCTTAGTTTAAGAAATGGAATAATATGCAGAGCTTATTTAAAACAGAACTGACTCTATACTGTGTCAATTACTGTCAGACTGATTTTCTTTCCTTTGGTCCCTGTATGTGTGCACACATGTATATGACTGTGAACAGTTAATTACTGTATGACTACATATAGAATGCTTATATAATATTTTAATAAAGACAATATTACAATCTAGTTTACATTTACACATCACAATTGGGAAATAATAATTTTCCTTACCTATTTCAGTCATGGATATCCCCGGAGCTAACTGCCCATTGTTGAAAGAGCTATAGGTAAACAAGTTTGGTACAGAGGTGAGGTCATAGATAGGTTCCTGCTTTATCTGTTTGATTCCAGTCATGTCTAAGCCAGACTGATCTGGAGAAGGCTGGGCAGAATCCACGTTGTAATAACCCTCAGACTTTGGCAGGTCGATGACGTGCCCATTTGAATAGGTGCTGCCCGTTTCGTTGTTCAGATTGCCCAAGCCGTTGCTGATGCTGTTGCTGTAAACCCTGGCAAGGGCTTCTGCCTCACCGCTCTGCTGCTGCCGCTGTTCCTGCAATCGCTGCTGGTGCTTCTGCACTTCAGCATACAAGCTATCCCTCTGCTTTTTGGACATTCTTCCAAATTTCACAGCTGAAAAGCAAAGCACAGTGCAAGCCATTGTCATTTTTCTTTTGTCTCAATTCCCCTCAACACCACTGCTCCCCTGATATCTGCTTTTAGCGTCACTTTTGCTGTGGAAACTTATCTTTTTCTTTTGAAAGAGAGAGGATGCAGAACTTTATGTCATATTCATCTCACAAAGGAAAACTATCACCTGCTTGGATTTACAAGCTGACAGTGACTCTTACTTGACAGGAGGGCCGCAGTCAGGCAACTCACTTTCTACTGTGAATGTTAAAAAGTCGATGCATCCTTTTTTTGTCTTTCTGTTCACTGAAAAACAACCCAAAGCTGTATGAAAAACATAGTCTATAGATTCATAGTCCTTGCATTTTACAAACTTTCCACAAACCTTTAAACTGTGCATTAACAGGATTAGTACTCTGGATGAAAACAAGCCCTACAGCCCTATTATCACATTCTTTCAATGGGGTGTTATCTTCACACTTTTAAAAAAATCTTGCAGGTTAGATTTAGAACCTAGAGGAAAATAGCAGACTGGAAGGTAAACAGCACAAATGAATGTCATCTTTTTCACAGAGAAAAGTCTCAGGGATTTACACAATCAATTTACATAATCTCCATGCACAAAATCCATGCATTCCTTCTAATGAGAAGGGCAAGAAAACAAGAGTGCAAACCACTGTCCCCAGGAATATGGCTCACTACACTGAGATTGAAATTTTCAGAAATGACAGTCTGATTGCTGTGGAACTACAAGGAGTAAATCCATAGCCTACATATACAATGGTCACAGATGATTATCTGTTCTTTTTTTTTTTTTTCTCTCTCTCTTTAAATTCTGGGTTTCTACTGGCCTAGATCTTGAGATCTCAGAGAAGAGATAGCTATTAAGCTATTAATCATGCTTTAAGACAAATGAGATCTGTCAATTAGGATACATTCAGCAGAACTTATCAGAGAACAGATAGGAGGACATTTCTCTGGAAATACTTATTTTATGTATTATGAGGACTATTTTCCAAAGCTATTTCCCATCCACTTGTAATGGAGATCAGTTCAGAATCATCACACTTATTAGTGGCTTGGTTCCCATTTTAGTTGCATTTCAGTTATAGTTCTCCAGAAGATTCTGGGCTTACAAATTCTCATTTAAAAAAAAAAAAAAAAAAAATTTATTTATTTATTTATTTACTTAAGATAAAAAAATACCCAAACAATAACAACAAAACAGAGAAAACAGGAAAAGAACTCTATTAGAAGGAAATGGCATAAAATTGAGGAGATGGTAGCCTTTCAATTTATTTGTATTTTGTTACTTTGAGATTTGTTTTTCTTGTTACCAGCCTCAGCTCACTTGCAGCCCTCCATACAGTTTGTGAGTACATACACTGGCTGCTCTGCAACCAGTCTACAGTGCATTGCAAGCTGTTATGGACAATATGTAATGACTGGATTTTGAGAAATACAACTGCGTGTTTCCTTCAAACGTAGAGTCTCAGTAATAAAAACAAACACCCACAGTTTACTCTCATTATATATTCATTAATTGGATTCTCCAGCTGCTGTCAATTAGCATCCTGCCTCTGCATGATAAAAATGAATCTGTTACATGGCTGAGAGGTAAAATTCACATTCAATTTTTCTGTTAAAAAAAATCCATGCAAGCTATTTTAAACTTGCAAGAGCTCTCCATATCATTAAGTATAAACAGTCTCACATCAACAATCAAAGAAGAAAGTGATGTTGACACAAGAACCTCTCTTTGTATGCAGCAGACCCTGCATTATAGGTTGGGAAGACAATGCTGTGAGTTAAATACCTCTGTGATATCTCAAATACTTGCAAGGTATTACTTTCATTGGGAAAGTATATGCTGTAAAATTACCAAAATTTTACTACAGTGCTTTCTGAGAAGAAGCAACAGCTAAGGTGTCAAAGCATACTTTGTAGGAAGCCCAAAAGAACTCCATGAATTAAAGGTGAGACAGCAGGGCCCCTCTCCGTCTGCTGAGACAGGTGAGCAAATTGTTTCAGTGATACATGAAACACAGTGAGGTAGGAAAAGAACTATTACAGACATAAAGCAAGCTTATACACTCTGAACTATCTTATGTAATAAGTTTTTAAGTAACTTCATTAATGCCTGTTAATTCCAAAGAACAAGATTTATGAACAAATGCTGCCAGGTGATCAAAACTAATATAGCCTTGCTGAAGCAAATGTAACCTGCCTTCAAAGACAGAATATTCTCTTCTCATACTCCCTGACCATTTCAAATATGACTGTGAGCTGGACAGCCATTGCATTGGCAATGAAATGTTTCTCCTGTGATCCAGACATGGACAGGAGGCAATGCACCAGTGAAATGCTTTTTTTCACAAGGCAGAATGCTTAGTCAAGCATTTTGAATAGAATCACAGAATCATAGAATCACCAAGGTTGGAAAAGACCTAAAAGATCATCCAGTCCAACCGTTCGCCTATTCCCAATAGCTCCTACTAAACCATGTCCCTCAACACAACATCCAGTCTTTCCTTGAACACCCCCAGGCTCGGTGACTCCACCACCTCCCTGGGCATCCGTTCCAGTGCCTGACCACCCTTTCTGAAAAGTAATACTTCCTCATGTCCAGCCTGAATCTCCCCTGCCGTAGCTTGAAACCATTCCCCCTGGTCCTATCACTAATGACACGAGAGAAGAGGCCACCCCCAGCTCACTACAACCTCCCTTCAGGAAGTTATAGAGAGCAATGAGGTCTCCCCTGAGCCTCCTCTTGTCCAGGCTGAACATTCCCAGCTCCTTCAGCCCCTCCTCATATGGCCTGTGTTCCAGACCTCTCACCAGCTTTGTTGCCCTCCTCTGAACACGTTCCAGGGCCTCAATATCTTTCTTGCAGTGAGGGGCCCAAAACTGGACACTCGAGATGTGGCCTCACCAGTGCTGAATACAGGGGAACAATCACCTCTCTGCTCCTGCTTGCAACACTGTTTCTGATGCAAGCCAGGATGCCATTGGCCTTCTTGGCCACCTGGGCACACTGTCGGCTCATGTTCAGCCGAGCATCAATCAATGAAATATCAATAAAATAAACAGGTGAAAAACCTTAACATTATCAAAGTGTACCTTTCTTTTTAAACCGCCTATTCACTCTCACAGACCTTTAGAGATTTCAAGGAGAGGGATGCTTCCTCACGTCAGTATTTAATGCTGCTATATAAAAAGTTATATAAACTGGAATATTAATCCTCCTCTCCAGAGATAACTTTCGTGATTTTGATCAGAACAATGCGCTTCTTTTCCAACTCTTCCACTTCGAATCTAATATTGCTTTCCATTTTGCTATCTTCCCACCTTCTTCATGAAAATAGTCTCCATTGTTAACTGAAGATCTGTGTCTCACAGTGTGTACATTACAAAGCAAGGAGTTTCTCCTCTCTCTTTTTCTAGAAATCTACAGGGAGTTTAAGTAAGGCAGCAGAGAAGAAGAGTTTCAAAGGATTTAGGCATGAAGTAGGAATCTGACTCTTACCATCTCTAGACATTCCCAGGGCAAGACATTTCTGCAGTCGGCAGTGTTGGCAACGATTTCTGTTGGTTCTGTCAATTAAACAGTTTCTCTGCCTTGGGCAGGAGTAGGAGGCATTGTTCTGCTGACTCCTCCGAAAGAATCCCTAGGGGCAACGAGGAAGAGAGACAGAGTATTACCATGTGAGTATATGCGCACGCACACACACACACAGACACAGAGCCCTGCAAGCTCTCATGTAGCATAATGTTATTTTTGCTAGGGCTTTGCAGATGCACTAGCCTTGCACACTGAAATTAAAGAGCATTTACTCCTCACAAGGAGGATTTGTAATTGTACAGTAAAGAATATACTACTACTTTGTTAAAGGACAAACAATATAGAGTTACAGAATGTATTCCTATTGTGTAATAACTACCATGGATCATCTAATTCTTGCCCCTCACTGATGAAAAGCTTGTCAGCATTGGTAAACAGATAACATTAAAGTACTTACTCTGACTATTTTCCATCTATATTGAAAGAAACTTCTAACATTCGGCACTGGCTATACATAGCATTAGAAACTGAAGTCTGCTGTTTAATTGAATCTGACAAATGTTGATCTGATCTGGAAAGACCGTACACTTTGGGAGTGAAAAGTAATTCAAATTCAAACATTACAAAAGCACTAGGATTTAATGGCTGTATCAGGTAAATCTGACACACAAAGGAGAAAGCAGCACCATTAGACACTACCATGAGAAAGTAAAGATATTTTCCATATCAATGGAATATAACATTAACCATTTAATCTATTAAAAACAGCTAAATACTTTATATCCTAGAGGGTTTTTCTGCCCTGTTGCTGGCCTATTTGGCTAAATATCAGAGGGTGAGAACTCATTCTTAATGACTTATGAGCTCCTAAGTGCTACAAACAGCACCGAGAGGTACTGTTACTGTAGAAATGACATGAAGTGGCAGAAATGAAAACAAAAATGTAACTAGGGAGGAAGCATTTTATAATACTATTTTCTTTTGTGTAAAACAAAGCACAAGAAGATCAGTGAGTTGAGAGAGAGGGAGAGAAAGAGAAACAAAGAAAGGAAGTTAATTGGCAATCTTAGCAGCTTTAGAAGAAAGTAATTGCATGGCTGTGTGGTGGGAGAGATGAAGGATGGCACAGCCCTGCAAGAAGATATGAAGGGAAAGCATACAGTAGTCATTGGGAGAAGTGACACCAAAGTGCTTGTGCCTTTCCGTGTTCGTCTGTGAACAGTGCTCAGTGGAGTCAGAAAGGAAGATATGACTGTGCACATTGGGCAAAACCATTGTTATCTTCATTCAGGCTGACAGAATATACTAATAAGGGATGAGATTTACAACTCTTGTGGGTTTTGGGGGAAAAGGAGTGGGAAAACAACAGGGTGATGTTGTCATAGGACTCGATTTTCATGCTACAGGTAGTGCCTGTAGTCCCACTTCAGTCCCTGAGAACCGAATTAGGGTGGCACGAGATGTCAGTAACAGTGGGCAATAGGCATGATGTTCCACTGAGGAGACAGCAGCATAGTTCCTGAGACTGATGAGTCCAAAGAAGCTTACTTCATCTGGCCCATGCTGGCTTTATCAGTGATTACACTATACAGTGGCTGTTAAATTAAGGTTATGATTTGCATGGATATCCTTAGGGAAACTCTCAGGAAAAGTTCATTGTGGACTTACCCAATCCTAGTTGACCAGACCTTCTTTTAGCTGTGGAGATGAGCTTAATGTTATTGCTAGATGGATGACAATTGCAGATATTTTTTATCAACTTGTTGAATCTTACAGCCAATTTTGTTTTAGACATGAGGAACATTTTCTGCTTTAGATTTTAGCAGTTCTTATGTGATATGGATTTGAGAGAAGAAATGAATTAAGTTACGCTAAAATAACCCACACAACCATCTAGCATCAACTGTGTGTTATCATGTAGTACTGTTTTTATTACGGCTGATCTCTTCTCACAATAATTTATTTGTGTATTTTCCCCACTGAGTTCGATCTCTTCCTACAAGAATTTGTTTTTTCCCATCACTGCCCCTCTTAGGGAAAAATCAAGGCTTACATAATGAAGTTAATCTACAGCAGGTACTTTATTTCTCTAAAGAGATTTTTGTACTCTGTTCTTTCAGCAAAGATCTAAATGCTTTCTTACAGAGAAATCTTTACATAATATTAGTTATATTTAGTGGAAATAATATCTTTTTAGGGAAGCAATACACAATTCATTCCTGAGGAGTTAAAGGACATAAAGACAAGTTTGCCAGTGTTCCCAGCACTGACAACAGTCTTTCTGCATCTTAAACTTTATCCATCACAGTATCCATCACTGACAATTTGAGAAGGGAATGGCCTCTCAAACTGTCCTCAGATCCTTGCTGTGCTGTGGATAACAAGAAGCCTCTCAAAAGAAGGAGTCACAGAAACAATGGGGTGGAGACCTGTCTTTGAGTTTCACTCTTTCCCTGGTGACTGATGGCAGAGCCACCATTTTCTTTAGTTGACCTGCTCAGCCTATGCAGATGTGCAGCATGAAACAGCTGTAGCATTTACAGTGCCCATTAAGTGCTCATGATATGCATTTGCAGTGGCAGAACTAATGCAGAGACATGGAATGAAAGGATTTCCTGTCCCTTGGAGTCTGTAGTATTGCCACCGGCAGTGCAATTCTCCGACGCCATTTCCTGAAATGCTGAGGCCCTCTGGTGCCTGCTTTAATGCGTGCAGTCTTGTGGAAGACCTTCTGGCCTTCTTCCTCTTAATTAGTTCAGATTTCTAATGGGCTCAGACAAAGGGAGCTAGAAATGACCAGTTATTAGTATATGGGCTGAACAAATATTTATTATTTAACTGCTGGGCAAAGAGGAGCAGCATTGCATTGCCTGAGACAGTACTTAAGTGAAGAAAGAGCCCTTGAAGAAGGAGATGCCCTCCATTGGATCTGATGTGAAAGCTGACATCTTTTTTCACAAGAAGCAAAACAGCATTAGGCTAACTGATGTGATGCTGCAAAACTGGCACAAAACCCATAGATTTAAAACTGCTGTTAAGTAGAAGAAAAGCTCTTTATCTCAATAAGTGGTCCCCACATAGAGCTAAGAATATTGTCTTGAGGCACACACAAGGGCTAGCATTAAGCCTGATCACATCTACAGGAGACCATATCCCTCAGTGCTTTGTGGAGGCTGGATACAGAATCAAGATTTTCCTTTTCTGCTCAAAATGTTTTTCTCCTGTCACTTTTGTGCCAACATTAAAGTATTAAATCTATTAGTACAATCCCATTTCATGTAATTGTTGTAAGAAGATGCTTATTTCCAGTCCAGTCTCACAATAAGACAGTGTGACAGGGTAAGCTTTTCATTTAATATCATTAAAATTTCTGAAAGAAATCAGATCTTTGAGAATATATTGCTTCTTACACATTAAATACATTGTTTTGTGAATGAGTTTATGGATGAGTTTATTAATGTTTTTTTTTCAGTTGTTCTGTAGTAAGATTTTTCAGTTGTTCTGAAATACCATAAAGCATTAAGCAGGTAGAGATTTTCCATTTCACTCTACAATTATCTGTGCACTTTTGAAAGTACTGGCTTGTGAGTTTTTATGTAGAAGAAACCACAGATGCTGCCCTTCATCTTTACAACTTCATTGTTACAGTCAAAGCTGGAATGCCAACATGTGTAGCGTAAAATTCTGGTATTCCATAAGGAATGGTATAACCCTTTAGATAACAAAAAGCACAGAGTCTTTCTAACATTGTAAATGAAAACCTTTCTTGTGTTTGCTTGGTGTCTGACTAGAGTTATTTAAGCCAATGTCTGGGATAATATGCTAATATGCTTTTTTTTTTTTCTTTTTTTTTTTTTTTTCCCCTAGCCTCCTGTTCCAAGCAATTCCACTATGCTGAGCCCATAAGGAAGAAAGCAAAGGATCCTTTTACACTATCCATAATGTCATCATGTAAGGTATTTTTTTTCTTTTGGAGATCACAATTTGGCCTGCAGAGAATACAAAGGGTATGAAATAGGACTAAACTGACACCTGTAAGCTTTTAAGATGTTGAACTAAGATATCACATCAACTTCTAATGCTGCTGAGGCTGTATAGGAAACAAGGTAAAAAACTCAGTTCTCAAGCTTATTTAACATGTGTGACTTCAAGTTGCCTGCCTCTTTATCAGCACTTATACTGCATCAGATGTGATTAATTCATGTTTCAAAAGAGGAAGTAATTCTAAAGGCTATTTGATGAAAAGAAGAGCAACCAGTAAAATTAGGCATGAAATGCATGTATATAAGCAGCAGTCTTTATGGCCTTTGGCGTTACTTGTTTGAAAGAGTGTAAGAGTGTATTATTACGTACGCAGATGCCTGAGGCTAATGCAGATGCTGATGACTATGCTGTATTAAAATCCCATACCTTGCAGCCTTCACATGTGATGACTCCATAATGTATTCCAGAGGACTTATCACCACAGATTTTGCATGGTATCACTTCAATTTGTGCTGAAAAATAAGACAAATATTTTGAGTATATAATTCTATTTCATTTATTTCTTTCTTCACGCACAATCTTTTTCCCCTCCCCTGAAAATATAAAACTGCTTTTTATTGTACTGTGTGTTTCTGAATGCTTTGATTTGGCAGATTTTAATTGCTTCACATTATGTATCCACTATTCCCTACAAAACTCTTCAACAGTTGAAGCTATCTCATGATTTTTGATAGTTTTTATTCATACTCTTTTTTTTTTTTTTTTTTTTTTTACTTGTTAATTTCATCATCATTGTTGCTAATGACAAGCATTAGAGATCTAAATAATTATCTGGATTTTTCTTGCTTATGCTTTTACAATATTCATTACTTTACTCTTCATTTTGCTGAGGTGGTTTTATGTGGAATGTTTTGATGCATTTTTCAGACCTGTAGACACGATGAAGTTTTTATATCCTTCAGATTATGGGTTAAAAATGTACAAAGATAACAGTCTCACTAGCAGAGATGAACTTGTAAATGACCACTTAATCTCTCATCCAGTTCAAACTGTTTGCTTCAGAATCAGAGCAGAGGTAGGTAAAACCCACAGACTGAGATTAAGTACACAGTAACTGTGTGATGGGAGAGACAGGTGCTATCTGAAAATGTTGGTGTACGAATGTGTTTCAGATCCTTTTATAAACCAAATAATTAGGAAATTGCTATTTTTTAATATATATTTTCTTTTACTTTATTTAAGCAAATAGCTATTTTCTTCCTTCAGTTACTTAGAATCTTGTGAGCTTCCGTTGTCTAAAGTGTAAGAGCACACACCCTGTATGGTGGGACTTTGCCTGATTCTAGTAAGAAGCACTGAAGAGAAAAAAAACTCTGTTTTCTTTCCAGTAATTTGTTCTCCTCAATTCTTTCTTGACTTGGAGCTATCATGCTTGCTTATTATTACTGGTAGATGTTGCTTGTGGTTTAACACCAGTAAGCAGCCAAACATCACAGAGCTTCTTGCTCACTAGTCGGATAAAGGAGAGAATAAAAAGAAAGAAAGCAAGAAAACTCATGGGTTGTGATAAAGGTAGAGCAAAAATGTAAAGCAAAATCTGCATATGCAAGCAAAGAAAAATAATTCATTCACTACCTCCCACTGGTAGGCAGATGTTATCCACTTCCAGAAAGCGTTTCTTCATTATATGTAATGGTTGCTTGGGAATGTAAACAACAAAACTCCTAACATCTACCCCTACTACTTCTTTTCCTCCAGCGTTTATTGCTAAGTACAATGTTATATGTATGGCATGGACACTTTGCTAGGTTGGAGTCAGCTGTAATGGTCATGTTCCCTCCCACTTTCTTGCAGACACCTATCCATATTAGCTGGTAGGGCATCATGAGAAGTAGAGAATTCTTTTGCTCAGTGCAAGCAGGTTTCAGCAACAAACAAAACATTGGTGTGTTATCAACATTATTTTCATCGCTAATTGAAAACATGCATCACATCAGTTGCTATCAAGAAAATTGACTCAATCCCAACTAAAACCAAAACAATATGTTCCATATTCAGGATTGCAGTATCCACAGTTCACTGCAACATTAGTTACTCATCAAATACTTGGGCAGCTCTGCTGAGATCTTGCATGCTAGGGGGGATTCCTATGGGGGTAGTCTTGTCCTCTTAAGGACAAGAGTTGCTAACCCTTAGTCCATCGGTTGAGTATGTTCAACTCCAAAATAGATTGTTAGTCAGGGAAACAAGATAATAATTCAGATATTGATCCTAAAACAAGCATCCTGTTTCAAATCTGTTGGCACACAAAAAGTCTACAAATGCTGGAGAAAATTTATTTATAAACGACAGCACTAAATAAGATATGCTAAGCATCGTTGTGTTGTGGATGTTATAACGGTACAATCTTGATTTTGTCCATACTATTTATTACTCCTTTCAGGAGACCAGTTTTCTAGGAGTTCCTTCCTACCACCTTGAAGTCAAACAACCAAATTTCAGAACAATCCTACAGAGTCATCACATTCTCCACTGAAAGGTACACCGCATTCCCCATTCCATAGAAATTACCTAGTGTAGGTAAACACTAAAGGTGAACATTAATAGGTCTCTTCTGTATAGGTCAGTAATTATTCCCCTGTAACACCATACCCCAAAGGAAGGAGGAATGAGGGTCGTTTATGGATGATCTAAGAAACTTCAGTTTCCCACTGTCAGCTCACTTTCCTGAGATACTTTCTCTAATCAACCATGTTTCTAGGAAAAATAAATATTAGCTTAGACAATCAAACCAGTTTTTTCAACTGCCCAGAAGTCAGGATGGATAATATGAATTTTACTGTAGGAAAACAAAATTTGTTGTTCATGTATTTTGGGTGGAGATAACCCAGGCAAAAATCTTGACCGCCCTTGAGCTTAAGAAAGTTCATATTTAGAAATGCAATTTTCTGTGTCATCCACAGTTTTTGGATTAGTGTCTATATCCTGTTTTGTTTTTGCAGACCGAGAGAGGTAGATTTACTTCTTTCTTAAGAAGCTAATATGCACAAGCCATCCAAGCATAGCACGTAAAAACAAAGGAAACTGCATAGAATATAGCCTCAGCTTCTTGGTAATTTTGCCAAGCTGATCTCATTTAAAATTTTCTGTTCCTTATCCCCACTGCAGTAATTAGAACATTTCAACATGCATCCCCAGGTACTGCTTTTTCTGAGGACAGTTGAAGCCACTGCTCACAGGTCTCTGCTTGAGAGTCATATGGAGGTTGCATGGCTAGGCTCTGGGATCTGGCACTGCTGAAAAGTTCAAAGACATTTGTCAATGTCAGAAGCAGAGACTATTGTGACAAGATGAGGAGATCTTCAGGAAAAGTAATGACAAGGGAAGAAAAAAATAAAAACAGTTTGAAGGTACTTTTAATGTGACTTGCATGTACTGTTTGTAAGTGATAGGAACAGAGACAGAAGTATTGATCCTGTGACACACATTGCATTTAGCAAAGTGCTCGTTACTGCGAGCAATCAATAATTCCATACGTGACTTGCAATTACAAGCACTACACTAGAGATAAATATTTCTAGATCAGGTCACTAAATATGATGGCTCTGTATTTCAATTAATATGAAATAAATACTTCGGGCTTGTGATTCATCAATTAATTCAAACTCTTATTCAAAATTAACCATTCTATAAATTAGTAAGTACAGGATCTCTAGAAAATTGCTACCAAAGCTCCATAGAAAGCTCACAGAAAATGCAGTATCTTCAGTACAGAGAAAGCATTTGAGGAAGTTTGGAAAAGTAGACTGCTGTTGTCTGCTAGGCATTTCTTTTTGTTCATAAGACAGCAGAACAATTTAAAGGTTTGTAACAGAAAACTAGAGTGATTAGTTGTACAGGGTGGATGAAAAAGAAGACACTGTATTCCCCAAAACATCTTGAATTACTGTAATTAACACCCACTGTACCAGGTTTCTTTTGCAGATTTAATGATTGTCAGGGACTACTACATATTTTCACATTGTATCTTTGTTCAGACAACTATAAATCTGCTTTGTTTTTCTTCTTTCCTTCTCTTCTCAGGCCAACAGTTTGGGGAACTGAATATCGTTCTCATATATATATGCAATAAGGTGAGTAGCTCACTTCTGAAATCCTCATAAGAATAAAATACATTGATTCAGTACTGACACCTGAATACTGAAGTAAAAAGGGAACTAACTGACAGTGAAGCTGCCATAATGATTACTTTCAGCAGCATATGGAAACAACTTACTTTCTTCCAAAAATGAGGAAGTATAACAGCAAAACTACTTATCTGTGCTATTGAAGTCTTTCCACTTGCTTTCTTACCCTCTACTTTCATAATTTGTGTAAGAATAACAGCTTCTGCCTTTTTCAAGCAATAACACAGGTTCTCAAGTGTCCATTTGTTCAATTTTTCAGCAAGCACATTCAGTTTTCATCCTGTCTTGAGATGTATCACTCAATAAAAGTCTGCAAAACCACTATCATCCAAACCATTAATAACGTTTGGATACATGCTACATCGTGATTGCTTCTTATCACCAATTCTAACTTTGCACATCAGTACCACATGATCGTCCTTCCTCTCTGTGGTATTCATCTCCTACTTTATAGTTAGGGTTTAAGTTCACTGAGTCTGGGAACTTCCTGTAAGTTTATATGATATCCTACAAATTGGAAAGCCAGAGTGAAAATTATTCAATTCTACATGACAAGTATTAATAATCCGCACACACTGTGTTTACACCTGAAACATAGTTCATTCTCACAGGAGAACAGGAAGAGCAGAATCCTATTAAGGAAGTAAATACAAAATCTCATACATTTAAAAATGAACCCTTTAAATATGAAACATTTGCTATTCTGTCATACGTTGCCCCAAGAGAAAAAGGATTAAAGATTTTTTTCTTCATTATGAGCAAAAATTCACTCACTAACACAAAATTCATTTTTTTAAAAGTAGGGCAATAACCAAGTTTCAAGAACTGTTATTTTGGTGAAATTGGGAATAAATCAAGAGGTTACACAATTATTTGCTGAATTCCTCATGAAACAAAATAAAAACTCCACAGGGCAACTAATAGGTCTACAGTATAATTATGTGGACTACCGTTTACATGTACAGGTGGTCAGACAAGAAAAAAAACAAAGCTTGGATCTCAGTTAAATATATAAGGAACTTCATTCAGCAGAAACAGGATTATAATCTGTCAGACTTGTAGCTTTTGTTTCAAGGAATAAAAAAAAAAAAAAAGAAAAAACAAAAAAAGCAAGAACCTAGGCTTTTAATATTTAGTTCCTGATCAAAAAAGCATGCTAACATGTATTGAGAGCAAACTTTGAAGAAGAAATCCTCTCCATAATTTGTTGATCCAGGAGGAATCACATGTGGAAATCTCAAAGCTAATCAGAGCACCGGTGGTTTAAAAAAATTTGCTCCTTCACAGTCTAAGATTTCTCAAAAATCTCAAAGGGAGTTCTTTGA